TACAGATTTTTATCTGTATCATGTGTATCTGCTAGCATTTGCATTTATTGACCCAAATGTTATTTTTGTGTCATATGCTTTTGCTATTGATTATTATATCATTCTAGTTGTTGTTGTTGTTGTTGTTTCTCACATTAGCTCTAAAGAAAAAGATTGGGAGCCCGTGGTCTCAAAACCCGGCATACACGACCCCACGAAGAAACAGAAAAAAATAGGGTACAAAAACCACTCGGAAGAGAAACAAAATGATAGAAAGAAAGACCAGNCCATTATCAATTTTTTTCTAAAAAGTCTTCCACCTCAACTCTTCTCCATATCTCTGTCGTTACACGATGCCAGAACGTATATCTAACCTTCGGTCTATCAATGTTTCTAATTTTGTCCGTGATACTTGATATCCGTAGGAACGTGTGGGAAAAATTGTACAATGTATTCCGCAAGAGAGACTTCGGGTAGTTACATTTAAGCATACTACAGATCAATCTGGCTGATACTGCTTCAAACGCTTCAATTGTTGTATATCTGATCGCATATCTACATAACTGGCAATGTAATGTCGACAACTTGCAACGGGTTGACAGCAACGTCTCCCAATGTGGGAACACTCGATACTTATCAAGGGATTTCATGCTCCTTCTTTTATCATGGATGGTAACAGACGTCTTACCAGGTATATTCTGTCCAATTGCCATATATATCTAGAAACGAAGTCGACTCACCACATTGTTCACGAGTAATCCGAATAGGGCTATCAATCAATTCTCCCGCCGCATTTTTCACTGTAGAAGGGTACATTCCTCCGTAAATTCCCCCATCTTTATATATCACATCACCTAATGTGGGCCCTTCTTTCTTACCATAAGCAGCCGTAAATATGTCATCTATGTATCTCTTGGTGCTAACGGCAAATTGCTCTATAAATTTAAACGGGTAAAGCGGTTCAGTCCCTGTCTTTCGTGACTCTAAATGTTCACTAATCATTTCTTTCAAAAAGTCAAATTCGTGCATAAATGCAAAAATATTTGCCAAATCTGGGGCTGGAGACATTCCCATAAAGATACCTGATGACTGTTTGTACATTGGATTGCCAAATTGGGTAAATCCTTCATCCAAAATAAAATTGATCCATTTACATATCCTTTCATGCTCAATAAAGTATTTTCCATGTGTATTATCTTCTAAACCAAGCGGTATTATTTCGGTTGACCAGTGAATGTCCCGTACAACTGGCTCTACATCTTTTTTCAAACTCCATTCTATAAATAGCGATTTAAACCCCAGTAGTAGTCTCTCTTGGTGTGCAAATGCCAATTAATTGTAATGCTTCCTTCATCTTTTCCTTCAGGGGGGCCACTGGGATATTTGGGTACATGCCTACAAAATCATACGTCTCAAACTGATGTGGGGATGTACTATCTTCCTTCTGTACCTTGATGTGTATTTCTCGTAAGACTTCTAGAACGCTTTCTCCACTACTAGTAATCCAACACTCCTTGGCAAGGATACCCAGTTTCGTGCTTTCTTCACGCCATAACGCATGCAAACATGGTCTGATAGCAACTAGAACTGTATTAACAATTTTCGCAACTCCTTCAGTTGTAGTACCACAGCACGCCGTAGTTCCTCTAGTTGCTACAAGTTTCTTGTGGAGCTTAGGTGTAAGGTACCTTGTAGGTAACTTTTCAGTATCTTTGTACTGGATCTCGTCTTCTTCATCTCTATATTTAACCTGGGTAATTGGCAGCTTCTCTGTTTCTAAAAACTCCCACTGTCTATCAACGATATCTCTTTGTACTGCTATCAACTCTCCTTCTAATCTCTGGTAACCTGGCCCTTCTAGTTCATCCGTTGCTAAACGGACATAGCATGCCTTGCACATGATGCATATGCAGTTTGCAGCTTTATCTACCCGCGAGAATACCAATTCATGTTGGAATTTCTTGAAGGATACTCTAGCTTTCTGAAAATCAATTCCTCCACTAAGCGGCTTTACAATCTCCCCGTCTAAGTGTTGGGCTAGTTGCTTCTCAATTTCTTCTAACAAGGCATCTTCCCAAGGTCTAACATCGTCACGCGAGATATCCATCTGATAGCACAAGAGGTTTATGTACTCAGTGAACATCATTTGTAAAGATTCAAAAAACGGCAAGTCCATAAGATTTTCTGCATACCCGGACCTAAATCCTGCTTGCAACTCTAGTACTGCTGCCGCATTGTTATCCCGTAGGCAACTTGCATCTGTGGTTACCATACAACGAGTGAGTGCCGTCCTTCATTAGTACAGCATATTTTTGCCACCATTCATCATTACACAAACATCTATACTCATGTTGGTTTGCATCTCGTGCAACCGCCGTTGTGTTGATATACATTCCTTCTGATCTCTCCCCATATTTGAAACAAGGTATAATACGTTGTACTGCATCCTTGAATTCAGCCAGCTCACTCGGAATGTGAGATAAGATATTAGGACGCATCAGTATGGAACGGAGGGATAGTACATCAGCAATGTTACTAGTAAAACCAATAACAACCAGTTGAGGAACTGTACGTTGTTTAACCAATGCCGGGGGGAACGAAGCTAAATACTCCTTTCGTAATCGTTTGAATGCCAAAAGTACATCCTCTGTAATACCTTTTTGCCCCCCATACGTAATCATTCGTAGAATGTTCTTCTTAGCTAGTGATTCAATGTATGCATCCACCAACCAAGGTTTGTGTCTGATAAGTCCTTCCAGATATTTAACCCTTCTGCCCCATACTCGAGACAGGTATTGTCTACCGTTGCCTTGGGGTCCGAATGAATTTCTATTCGTCAGCCGTTCCTCATGCCTCGACCTTCTAATTGGTCGTCTACCAAACCCATGGGATGGAATACCAGGAGGCCGTGGTAACTTGATCTCTCTTCTGGAATTGTAACCATTGCGGAATGTGTTCAATCTAGCTATCCATGGGTTTTCCCTCGTACGCCAATGCATCATCACTCGCAATTTTGGCTTATCTGGGATGAACTTGGGTAAAGTTTCCATAAGAACGAGGACAAATTTGTTTTGGTCCAAATCGAGTGCTCTTCCCAGTCTATCTCCAGTTCCAAAGTGCCCTGTATACCGGGCATACGGACTATCCATAGTGCGACCAACATACGTAACAGCGTTAGCTAGATTGACTATTGCGTATATGTACACCGTGTTCGCATCTCGTGGAATCGGACGTAGGTTAGTACCTGTACCATGCGAGACCCAATGTGGGATCGGTCGCCCTGCCTTTTGAGGCTCTAGTGCACCTATGGGAATATTTCCTCTGTCGTTACCAGTCGCTAGCCAACGGTCTCTGATTGTCCATATCCGCCTACACGCTTGGTGGTTTTCAGCTGTCGCCTTTTTAGACCGTCTGTATAATTCCCACATTTTCCCAACATTGGAGTTGGGATTACGGCATGGTAGTTCCAGCTTCCTCTTCTTCCCGCGTTTCTTCGTCATTGATTTACATCAGGGTTGTTCTCGACAAAAGTTTTTAACTTCACCGAGAGATGAGCAAGTGATCCTCCTCTTGTACACAGTTCCATCGATCCAAATCCATATAGGTCCGTCATTAGTCGTTACCGGTTACATGTCATCATCAGAGTAGGATATATAACACAGTGGGGTTAGGATAGTTTACATAATAGATGACGTTGGGTGTTAGGCATACATGTGTATGTATTTGCATATTTTCTAACAATTAAACAATCAAAAGTTAGCCATTAACAGTTTCTAGTCGACCTCGAATTCACGGACAACTCTTTGTCTTTTGCAAAAGGGAAACCAATTGTTTTTTTTGGTGATGCTTTCTTTAAAGTAGTTGCCCTTGGCGGGTCGGGCAGGTCAATTTCCGTATCATTCAAGATACATAAAAATCTTCCCACGGATCGACGTATACCAACGTAGCTCATTGGCCAATGACCGCAGAGCACCGCTGATAGGCCTCCAGATCAGATTTCAGGGTCGTCTAGGCACCACGTGGGGCCGACTCTAGACTGTCTAATTTTTTATTTTTCGAAAGGATACCACCACATTTACCCCTACTGGACGAGGAACCAGTAAGTTTACCCTAAGGCAGTAAATGCAGAAGCATGCTGTGTTGTTATCAACTTATGGATCTGTGTGATTCTGGGCACAGTAAAGTGATACTCCCCTGCTAGTGATAACAGGCTCAACAAGACAGTTTAGTAGTCATCTTGTGTATCGGACCATACTAATGGGAGAATCGAAGGTTACGTATATGTGTGGCGAGTTACATTTCATCCTACTGAATTGAAGCAGCCATATGTACAGCTGCATATCTGCTACTCATCAAGCGGCGTAATATGTTTTACGTTTAGGGTTTTCGAATTTTGGTACGCCCGATCTTCCAGGGGCGATTCCGCCTAAGGGTTGGTCTTGTCAAAAAAAGTGCAGCATCAAATCGAGAAAAAAAAACAAAAATGCCGCTGATTGGCTCTTCGCCTCAGATTCCGGCGCCGAACCTTTAAGACAGGTGTTATTGTTCCGAAAGTTCTTCGAAATGGCAAAATCAAAAAAAAGTAGCGAATAGACTGAAAACGCGGCATAAAAATGAATACACCATAGGTGACAGTAGACGCTTGTCCTCCCACAATCCACGCAACATCTTCATGAGCGATAACGGAGGCGCCAACGCAGACAGTAGCGTAGTAGGCGCAGGAGGCGCCACGGGCGTGGCGGGAAGCTATGTTTTGCCCCGGCAGTCCCCCCCCCCAGCAGGCTGTTGGCGGGAGTGCACACGCAAACATGATGACTCCTCCGGCGCCACCACAGCATCTCTCGCACATTCCGCCCCAGCAGCAGCAGCAGCAGCAGTACGGTGGCATCGCTGCTGCCGCTGCGGCCGCCGCTGCTGCTGCTGTGGGTTCTCCGGCGTCGGCTCCGCCAGCGTTTTCCCCTGGATCTGCTAGATTTCCCCCAGCGCGCGGATTGTCCATCCCTCAGGTGGCCCACTCCAGCATGCTTGCAGGATGGACCACACCGCCCCCGTCTCCGCAATGGCCGGGGCCGGGAAAGCTGCCGGCGCCCGCGCCAGGGCCAGAATGGCTGCCGAAGCTCGTGCCAGGGCCGGAATCGCCGACGGCACTCGCGCCAGGGGCGGGATCGCCACCAGCCTTCCCGCCAGGGCCGGGATTGCTGCCGACCCTCGCGCCAGGGCCAGGATCGTCCGTGCAACTCTTACCTACGCCCCCAACATTACCGCCCAATACCATCCGGGAGGAGCAGCCGAACTATGCCGACTGGTTGCTCCCGGCATGTCAATCGGAGATGAAGAGGCGAGCGGAGGCAGCGGGCCACAAGGGAGCCTTTCGGTACGGTGATGGGGTCGACGAGATCAACACGTCGATTTCGAGCGTGAAGAAGCCAGAAGCTGTAAAGCTTCTCCTGGCCCAGGACGCGTGGCGTGTATCCAAAGGTCTCGACCCTGATTGGAAGCAAGCTCCGCAGGGCACCCCGCAAGCGAAGAGGGCGGCGAAGGAAGCGAAGGCGAAGCTTGCTGCCGAGGAGGAAGAGCGCAGGAGGAGATGCCGTTCCAGCGGGGATGCGGCAAGGTTGTGCTTCATCATGTTCTCGGACGAGATGTACGAGAAGGTCACCACCAGCGAACAGGCGCCCACGGATCGAAACAAGCGCGACAACCATGCCATTGGGGTGAACGATCCAGACGGGGTTTGGGATGAGATAGTTGACCACTTCGTCGACGAAAATTTGAGGCTCGGTGGGGTACGCGCTGGCAACCCCAAATCACACGACGGCAGCACTGCACCCGGAGTGCCTAAGATGTGGGAGGCGCTTCAATCGCTCGACTATGACGATCCAGCGAAAAAGTGAGTGTTGTGATTTCGTTGGTATGCCGCACATTTGAGACATACATGTTGTGCTGCTGGTTCGCTTATTTTACATTTAAGGGCAGGTGCCCGGGGAGTTGCGGCTGTTTCTCTCTCCTTTCCCCCGCGGAACGCAGATATTGTTTGACTTGCTTTGAAAAAGGGGCCTCGCAGGGCAACAGTAGGTACCAGCTGCCAGTTCTTAATTTTTGCCACTTTTATCAATTACGGGAGCGCTGGTTTCTTGGCTGATGGTGCAGTGCCTTATGTGGGTTCGTCGTTCGAACGTCCTGCTGTTGTTTTCAGGTGGAGGGAAGAATGGACGTTCAAGGAAGGGTCGCGGAAGGGAGAGCTGGACAAGGCTCGCGCCCGCGAGAAGGTGAAAGGCTGGTGGATGGACATGCGTGCGGAGTTAGGACAACGGTCCACGGCGGGTGAAGGATTTGGTCTTTTCCGATTCCCGTTAGAACTATTTGCGCAAGAAGCCCACCTCCGTGTTTCGACTGGTATTTTGTTGGTAGCGGCCTTCGTCGGGGACGCATTGATTTTCTACTGCGGTGGATGTTGGGTTAAAAAAACAATAAAACCCGCCCCGTCCAGACGACCGTCTACCCTCCAGTGTCCCATNCAAAAAAACGTCCCGTCCAGACGACCGTCTACCCTCCAGTGTCCCATCCCCTGGTCTGTTTNGTTTCTTTATGGGGAGGGGGTGGAACGGGTTCAACGGGCATATGTGCCGGGTGCTATTTNTGGGAGTGGGTTTCGCATTCCTGCTTGCCGGGTGCTGTTGTTACAGAACGAAAGCCCACCCCCCGTCTTTTTTTTTTTTTT